GCCCCATGACCCAGGCAGGGCTCCCTCCCTCCTAGGCCACCTGAGGGCTTTATTCTGGGTACCCCCCCCCCATAGTAACATTCTTTTCCCAACAACTGCTATAGGGTAACCTCTGTGTTAACCTAAAAAAACAAAGCAAAACAAAACAGAAAACAGTGCACTAAACGCGATGTGGTATCCTGGACTGGATCCTGGGACAGAAAAAAAACACTAGTGGGAGAAGTAGTCAAATCCAAAACAAATCTACATTTAACAGATTTGGTACTAAAGCGAATGTCTTAGTTTTGACAAATGCACCAGGGTTATGTAAATGATGTCAGCATCAGGGGAAACTGGGTGAAACACATACGTGAGCTCTCTTACTATCTTAGCAACTTTGCTAATCTAATCTAACTAATTATTAACTAATCTAAAATTATTCCAAAATAAAATGTTTATTTTTAAAACAAGAAAAGCAAAAAGAATGATGCACCCCTTTGGCGAGTATGGCCATGGGGCTTGGAAAGGGGGCTACGTGCTGGGTTTTATCTCCCGCTCGTGCCCCGGGGGCAGCTCCCTTACACAGCTGCCCAGGATCTCGCCCGCCCTCTATTCTGAGCAAGCCGCCTCTGGGGGACAGCCCGAGCAAATAATCCCCCCGAGTTAGGGCGGGCCGCCTGCCTCCTGCATTCTGCACGCGTGGATCATACACCTCCCGGATACCTAGTTCTGGGTTGGGACTGCAGTGGGTACAAAACACGGAAAAATACAGTGTACAATTGCATTCATTTTGACAGATGCATGTGCCCATGAAACGTCCACCACAGCGAAGACAGAGAACATTGGAGAACGTTTCCATCATCATGGAAAGTTCCCTCGAGCCCCGGTGCAGCCCCCTCTCCCGCACGGCACACAGCTCCGATCTGCTTTCTGTCATTACAGGTTGCTTTGCATTTTTTAGAATTTCACGTAACCAGAGTCGCACGGTATGTGGCCCCTTGCACACGGTTCCTTTCGGTGTGTTTCTGAGATTCATTCCCGTTGTCGCATGTGCCGGGTCCATCCCTTTTCGCTAGTGAGCAGCGTTCCACCGCAGGATGTGTCACAGCTCAGTTATTCATTCAGTCCCGCCCTCTGTCAGCCACACTTTGCAAACTCACTGAGTCACAGAACCGTGGAGCCTCTGGGTACGCAGAGAGGGACCGTAAAGGCCACCTTTAGCCAACCCTGCCCTGGCACCCCTGAAGCAGCTGCCCAGCCCTGGCTCACACCTCCAATGACAGGACACTTCACTGCCATAGAAAACAACCCCTTTCATCCTTGGGCAGCGGGCCTGTTAGAAAACCCTTCCTATTTCACCCCAAATCCACCTGCCTAGCTTGTCCCCACAAAGGTCCTAGACCCTGTCCTGGGGCCTCCCAGGTCAGTCAGCCCCCTCCTTCCTACCCCAGGCCTTAGGGCTTGGGAGGCACAACCTCCACCCAGCACAGTGCTGATCAATGTTTAACTAAAACCTCTAGTTTAGTGATTTTTGCTGAGTGTGATTTCCATGATATGGATGCATCGAAATGTATTTATCTAATCTCCGCTCCCAGATATGTAGGAAGTTTGCCATCTTTGCTTGGCAAACAGTGCTGCAATTTTGTGAGATATGCGTGGCTTCCCGGAGCTGGCGTGCAAGATTTCTCTAGAAGGGGGATCACAGAGCCACAGGTGTGTCTGTCTTTCACCTCCTGGTCCACACCCTCACCCGCAATTGGTCTTGTAAGGCTTGGACACCTCATTGTGGGTTTATTTACATTAACTTATCCCTGGTGATGTTGAGAATCTTGGTATGTATTTATTGGACACTTGGGTTTCCTGTTCCATAAATTGTCCTTGTCAACGTTTTGTCCATTTCTCTAGTCGCATATTTACTTGAAGTCCTTTGTATATTCTGATTTCCAAACTTAAATTGCTATATGTACTGCAAATAGGTTTTCCAGCCTTTGCGATGTCTTGGATCAGTTGTGATTTTTAATAAACAGAATTTTTATTTGAATGTAGTTTAATTTCCTCTCTAGGGATGTGCTTTTGGAGTGAGTCTTGCTTACAAAGCAGTTGTTCCTGGCTCCTAAGTCCATACATTTTCTTCTAAAGCTTTTAAAGCTCTGCTGTTGATAGTCAGGCCTTCGCACACGTGGGGTGGATCCTGGTTGTGGTGAGATATGGATTCCACTTAGCCCTCTCCACGCCCGGGAATACGGCGCATCTACTGGGGAGCTCGGCCTGCTCCCCCGGGAGCTGCGCTCCAGCTTCCCTGCCCCTCGGTCGCTGCCTTAACTGCCGGAATCCTGTGCCAGGTCCTTGTATCAAGCAGGGCAAGTTCTCTCCTGAACATTTTCAAAACTGTTCATGTTCGCTGACCACTCCCTCTTCCATATAAATTTTAGAATAAGCTTGTCAAGTTCCAAGAAAAACTATGCCAGGTTGTAATTAGAATTCTGTTCAATTTGTAGGGGAATTTGGGGACAACTGACTTCTTTATAAACTCAGCCTTCCTACCCACGGATACATTCCATTTCTTCTTTATATCTTTCTATAAGGTTTTATCATTTCCCTCCAGGAAGGTCATGCACATTTTTTCACAAGATTTATTTCTTGATGCCGAATCACATCCAGTGTCATTGTAACACACACTTTTTAAAATTGCATTTTCTGTTGGTTGCTTACACGTAGGGAAAATGTCAAATTTTGCATAATGGACTTATACATATGGCAATTCTCATTATATAATGTGAAAATTCTTATCCGGAGATTTTGGTGCTAACAAGCCCACGACTGTCTTTGTGGACAGCCTTATCATTTGTAAAAAATGGCAGTTTTATTTCTTCCTTCCCGATTTTTATAACATTAATTCCCTGGGCTGCCTGGAGCCTTTACTGCCTCATTGAAAGGCATCAGGGATGGCGGGCGCTTTGCCTTGTCTCTGATTTCAAAGAACGCTCCGTGTCCGCCAGGGCCCGCGCTGTGAGCTGCGGCCGGCGCATTCCCAGTTAGAGAAGGTTCCTCGCTATTCTTAGTAACAGTTTGTTTTGTTTTTATCTTAAGTGTTTAATCTCAGTGAATGCTTTTTTCTGTATCTATGGAGATGTTGTGAATAACACTGGTACGTTCTCTAATGTTCAATGGCCCGTCCTTCCCGCAGAAGCCTGACTGAGTCACTCCGGGGCTGAAGGGCATATTTCTGCCCCCCTTGAA